GTCGAATGCTGAACATTGAAAAGCCTCTGGAGAACCTTGAGTAGCCAAATGATGAGCCGAACCTATCACAACTACACGATGCAAAGGCATTAAGTTGGCGAAACATGTACCTGGGCTTCTGCCCGGCACTCGTGATGGTAACGCAGTCGGCATTCCTGGATTCGTCGTTTGCTGTCGATTGTGTTCTATTCAACATATGAACAATTAAACTATGTAAATGATAATTTGGGATTCAGTTGATTGTTTGTGGAGTAATTGCTTTTTTTCCTTTAGGAAAATTTGATTTCTTAAACTCTTCTATTTTGACTGACTTTCAAACTTTCTGTACTTTTCGGTCTATCTTGAGACAGGCATTTCAGCCGTATTTATTTCCTCAAAACTCTCCGTCGACATCGATCATGTCCCGTGCTTTTCCAGTATTGGAAAACGATTACGGTGACTGACTTATCCCATGAAATTTTGGCCGAAATTCTGAAATGCGTTTCGGTGTGTAAGGAGTACATAGATGAGGGTGCGACATTAATTATCGCTTGGCATAGTCCCATTTTATTTCGGACTTGCCAATATGTCGGCTTTTGAATGCATCTCTTGTCGACCTTCTGTAGAAGTTGCAGCCGGTAAAAAATTTGCTTTTTAAGTAGCATGCATTTTCACACTGATTTGCGCTGGTCATATATGTGCAAATATATGCTTAACAGAACATGCAAAAAATGCCTTCTTCTATTCATTTGGTAGCAAATCACACCCTCTTTACATTGTATGTTCGAATAAGGAACATTTTAGTTTCTGAGAAGGTTTTCTAATTTTCGAAAAATTTCAAGCCGAATCAGACGTCACATTAGTGTTTAGTGATTTCACTCTACAAGGTATATACTTTCTGCGTAGAGAAAATCATATATTTCTCTATACCTCTTAGAAGATATTTTGTACAGTTCATAAAATTGCTACAATGGATGCGGACTATCTTGCATGCTTTATGAGAAGTATTCTTAGACGGGCAAGTACAATGCTGCATGAATGGACATTGCAATGTTTAAAAATCATATAATTAGAAAATTTTTTAAAAAGCCGAAGAGTCCTCATTTTAGGCATAAAATATGAAAAAAACGTGGTCTGCTACCAAATGAGTAAAAGAAAATGTTCACAGATAAATCGATCGTTATCATTCGGCGGCAGTTTCGTGCAATATGACATACGCAGCGGAAGCAAGAAGGTGAAACTCTGCATACAAGTTTAAAAACTAGTATCTATGCGGTTTAACTTTGCTGCCTCCGAAAGTGTTAGGCTTTCTGAAGAGTGGAACTCAAAAATGCGTTGTTGGTCCTTTGTCTCCCCCGCCAGATGCGCACACTACTTTAATACCAACTGGATTTTCAAATGCTACTAATAATTACGAAAACTACAGCGAAACCGCTCCATGTTATGTAAAAGAAAGATTCTGGAAATAACTAACATCGAACTTCAATTCCGGGGGTGTTTCCTGCCAGGGGAATGCTTTACTGACCTCAGTACATATCGCGATAGTTAAGCAACTCTGCTACTCAATTTCTCTCGAACACATTACCACAGGTATCAGCAATTAGCGGCGGCGCACATTTCTTTGCGATCTCTCCGAGAGCTTCACAGGACCTGAAGATTTGGCAAGGTCCCACTGAATGAGCCCTCACTTGGGATTTGCCGTCATTCATGCTTAAAACTAGTGCGTGCTCGTACGTCTTCGTCCTTAAAAACTTATTTTTTGCTTTTCCAAAATATTTGCCTTGCTTTTAGTTACCTTTATCGGTGACTGTCTCTACTAATGTTTTACAGGAAAAAGCAACTACGGACCAAGAAACTACGTCGGAGAAACCGGAAGACAGCTCCGAACGCGAGTAGCCGAACACGCTTGTAATTTAGCTACCTTTATCGGTGACCATCTCTAGTAATGTTTTAGGGAAGAATCAGAGGCGACTGGCGACCATCATTTTTCTTCAATGATCACTATTCTCTCTTCTCAGCTGCGTTCCGGATCTCGTCCTGCCTCTTGTAAATGCCACTTGTGTATAGGTTTCTGATAAAAAAAATTCTAATCGTTGATTGCCTAACTGATCCTTAAACTCAAAATAGGTGATAACGCATATAAAAGACGATATCGTTCTATTATTGTCCGGAAATGACATAAAATTTTCCAGTATCCTATAGTAGACCCATAGAAATCCAATAAAGTCGGTTTTGCACGAGTGTAAAAACCCATCTTAACAGTAACTTTGTCCCCGAAATTGTCATTCTTCTCGAGATACACCTAAATTCTGCGCGCTAAACCTTCATAGCACTAAAAGTATCTTACGTTTTCATTACCACAAACAAGGTAGGGCTCTGGTGTAGCCTAGAGCGTCATGCATGTGACTGACTATCCAGATGCTTCTTAGCATTTTGTTCACTAATTAGACTGGATGTCGTGGCTTCTAATTTTCGCCGCTAAGACGGGATGTCCGTGGCCTCTGACATGCATAACGCAAGCAGGAAAAGACTGCACAAAAAACGAGACGCATAAGGCCACTGCAGTTGTGGTGGCGGCGGCGGCGGTGGTGGAGGAGGAGGAGGGGAGGCGAGGCAGTCTATTGATGGGGCAGTTTCTATCAGAGCTGTAAGCAGGCCACCTTCTTATGGCATACAGAAAAAAGGCCCTTAAAACGTGAACAGTTCTGCCTAATACGCATTACGTATGTACGCTTGCCTTTGAGAGATGAGTCATGAATTTGTTCATACGAATGAATGTACTCGCAAAGCCGTAAGTAAATCCGGAACGCCTCGATTCAATCTTGGAAACTGCAAATAAAACGAAGTTTTTATAAGCCTGAATTTGAACCCCATCGGGAGCCTCAGTGTTCTCAACGAGGTGGAATCGAACTTTGTCCATTGGTTAGCGTGTCCGCGACTTTGTAAGTGTAATTTTCAGCTCGGAAAAGTGTGATGGACGAGTGACCGACCGTTAAACAAATGTTCGAATTAGAAAAGCATCGTCTCAAGTTTTGTATGATAAGCTTACTACTTTATTTGTCTCAATAGACATGCTGTTTGACCTTAATATTCGAAGGAAATTTTCTGGTTGATCACACTGTGAGGTCCGTTTGTAAGCTGTGTATTATTGTGCCGGTCTTTCAAGTGACATTTTACGACCGACGTTCCTGAATTCCCCCAGAACGCAGTCAGTTCCTTGACGTGAGATCTTTCGAACAGCGACTTATCACTCCCCAGGACCCTATTGCCATAACTCTGAAAGCAGAATGATTCGTTCACCGGTCGAGTCATCGTTTTATACATTTAATAGGATGTAAATGATCTTAGGCTGACAGAATATTACCAAGGTTCTGTTTGTTACCAATCGGCCGATCAGTTTTAGTAAAACCTATGCTTGATGGGCTGATTCACCAGCAAAGGAGGCATCTACTAGAATGGACCTGATTCCGGTTTGCCGTTTCGGAGGGCCTGTAACTGCCATTTGTTCCGGTCGCTAGTGCCGCTGCTTACGAATGCCTCCTCAGGTTCAACTAACACACGTGTCCCAAAGTCTGGTTTGCCACGAAGATCGATATTTTCCTTTTTGCCGATTGGCCGAAGCCGGACGAATCTCGGGCGCACGCATTTCAGCTGACACTTTTCTGGTGGGAACGATAACTGTTCTTGCTCGCTCAGCTATGTGTATACTGGGGTGTAGGGGTATCCACGTGTGTCAAACGTGATGGATATAGTAGTTTGTTCTCTTGCTTGCAGGTGTAGACTACGCCTAGCGTCCATTTTCTGGGACCCAATTCTCACTTGTAGCTCCCCAAAGTTAGGCTCTGCCTAACGGCCGCACCACGGTAACCGCCTCGACCGGCTGGCTAAGCCGGGTGAGGGTATCCGTGTGTGCCTCTCCGCACACGGTAGTCTAAGCTCCGCTGGCCGACTCCATCTGAGACAACGTAGGAGGTCAACAGTAAGTGAACAGTGCTCTGGTGCCTTGCTTTTACTTGTTCTTGTCTGCATGTATGTGTTTGTCCTTGTTAAAAATTAAGTTCCGTTCTGTTGATTTTCCTGTGTTGTCTTTGTTTTTTGCCTTTCTTGGCTGCTTGTTTTTGTCTGCCCTTATTGTAAAATAAATGCCGCCATCAGGCTACGAAAACCGACCCTATGCGCCCAAAAGAACCTTGTTCAGGCTCCGCGCTTACCGTGGTCAAAGGTTGACTAACCACATACAACTTTCGGCGCCCTTCCGCTCTTGCCGAGCCTGTAATTTAAAACCTAACTTTTATCGATTTTTGTTTCACTCACTGTACCCCGCCCTATGTAACTGTATTGGCCTGATGAGGATTTACCGAAAGGAACGTTCGCTCGACATTGTCTCTTCTGAAAATGCTTTCTGTTGAATTTGTCTGCTCACCGTTTATATTTCAGCAACCAGATAGCTTAGAGGGGGACGGGAAGTCACTGCATCCCGTCTCTCTACACTTTCCCTCTCCCCCACCGTCGTAGGCACTTCCAGGCTAATTCAGGTCGCTCTCCCACTAAACTAAATTCGTGGCGCAAAGTAGAGTTCGGCAGCCGCGTGGGACAACTGAGTAGGCATATTTAGGATGGGCATTGATCACCCACGCGAGGGGTAAAATGCTAGAAAAGGTGCCATAATCAAATGCTGAGGACTCAAGCCGTCTGGATGTTGACCTTGGCCTCAGACGCAAAACTCACGGTCGGAACAACCAAATAAAAAACAACCCTCTCTCCTTCCCCCTTCTCCTCCCCGCCGCTCCACTCGCCAGACTGGTAGGGTGAGTTCGCTCACTCTGGCAGCCTGGAATTTTCGTTCCCTTTTAGACAATCCGGGAAACAACCGACCGGAACGGAGGACGCGCTAGTGGATCGGGAACTGGCATGCTACCAGGCGGGCATCCCCGCACTCATCGAGGCCCAGTTCTCCGAACAATGTCAATTGGAGAGGGGGGCCGGCTACACCTTCATTTCACGGTCGCCCCAAGGCAGAGCTACGGGACGGGGACGTCGTCTTTGCCATCCGGAACGACATCGTAGGACGACTGCCCTGTCTGCCGCAGGGCATCAACGACCGCCTGATGAGCCTTCGCCTGCCTCTTCGGGGAGGCAAATTCACCACCACCACCACCACCACCGCCACCACCGCCACCACCGCCACCACCACCACCACCACCGCCACCACCACCACCACCACCACCATCATCATCATCATCGTCATCATCATCATCGGCGTCTACGTCCCGCCGATGACCAGCCCTGATGAGTTGAGGAACAAGTTCTACGAGGACCTGCACGCCCTCCTGATGAATTTGTCGAGGGCGGACAAGTTGATTGTCCTTGGCGATTTCAACGCCCACGTCGGCGCAAACCATGCTGCCTGGAGAGGAGTGCTAGGTCCCCCTGGTCTTTACGACTCGAACGAAAATGGTCTGCTTCTCCGCACATGCGCAGAATACCACCTCATTCTGACTAATAAGTTCTTCCGCCTCCCGAGGCGAGAGAAGGCCACCTGGACGCACCCTCGGTCGTGACATTAGCACCTGCTGGACTGTGTCCTTGTCCGGAGGCGAGACCGGCGGGACGTGCTGGTGACAAAGACGATTGTGCGTGCTGACGGGTGGACCGACCATCGCCTCATCTCCGAGATACAAATTCGCCTACAGCCTCGCAGGAGACCACAGGGTAAGCGACCCCCAGGTAAGCTGAATATTATCCTGTTGTCTTTACCTGCTAACCATCTCCACTTCAACAATGAGCTAGCTCAGCAGCTAGCTAACCTTCCAGTCGCCGCTGCCGCCGCCATCGAGTCGAACGCCTCCGCTGAGAACCGATGGTGCCAACTGCGGGACACAGTCCTGTCGACGGCACCGGCTGACCTCGGTCGCGCACGTCACCAACAACAGGACTGGTTCGATGACAGCGACGTCGTCATCAGCAAGCTGCTCGCTGAGAAGAACCGCCTGCATGAAGCCTACGTCACCCGCCCCACCGACGACCGTCCCGTATACCTCATAGCCTTTCCCAGTTGCGAATTTGCCGATCTCTGTAGGTTTGCCTTTAAAAGCGCAGCCAAACTACTATCAGCGAGCAATTTACGCGCAACGAGACTTTATTAATTTGTCTTTTAATGCTAATTCTCCTTAGGCAGGCCACTATCAATGCACAGCTCCAGCACATTTTGTCATATATGGGTAGACCGTCGTTGCCGACGGTTTCCACGGTGTGCCCCAATCAGGGTGGGTGCAGCAACGGTGACTTGCGCATGACTTAGCTTATAGGAATGATGGACTTGCACAGCATTTACCGCACTGCCTCCTCCCCTACTGTCAAGACAGAGTTAAGAAGACCGGATGTGCGGGAGGACGCAAACTCCTGCCTGACTCCCATCTAATCCTTGTGTTAGTCCAGCACATCTACCCCGTGGCCAGTTTTAGGGGCAAACCTTTCCTCGCACGCTGTGTCAAGAACTTTATATTATACACCATAATTTAATTAACGGAGAGGTGCACTTAAAACAAAGTACCCAATATTCGACTCAGTCTGGCCCAACTTTCAGGCATTTCCGTAAGTAGTTTGGAATGTCCTACCTACTGATGTTTTACTCTCCTCCTCTGTGGACTCATTCAAGTGTAGACTCCAAGTGAATCAAGATTCCCAATTACAAGCTGCACATTCAGTCGTACAACCCATCACCCACATTATATATGTTGATGCTACTTACAATAAATGAGTAATCATTAATTCTAATTATGTTTCAACTAGCTGGCATTTGTTTGCCTTGCACAAAATCCCTTTTTCGACCTCCCGCTTATCAGTGCTTTTTCAAATGATTCGTAATCAATAGGGAGTTGAAAGGCGCTCTCCTATGTTTCCCATAATAAAACTGAACTGAGCTTAACTGAATGGTTTGTCGATAATAGTACGAAATTCAGAAACGGCAATTTCATTTTGCCTTGTTACATCTCCTGTAGCGCGTGAGCGGAGCTGTTATCTGCTTAACAGGACCCTGAAGGAAAAATATTACCCTCCTACCGATAATTTAACAATCCCTTCTACACAGGCGCTTATACACATAAGTCGTCATACCTCGAGAGAAGATTTGTGCCAGTCTGCCCTGCGATTGTCAGCGCGACCGCTTTCTGTCCGTCTCACGCTTCCTGTCAGTCGATGATTTCGGTTGTTCGGGACTCGGCGCTAGCGCGGTGGGAGCTCGAGGCCAATAGCCTAGCCGTGGCGTCTTCCTCTGATTGGCTGCAAGCGGGCAAGACCAAGGCGCACACAAACTGGGGGCTAAGAACCTCGACGACCGAGGAAGCGTCTAACTGCAACTGCATGTTGAACTGCTAATACTCTCTCTACTCCTAGAAAAGCTTGTCCAACCTAATCTGTCCTCCCTAAGTTGTGATTTAGGAACCCTCATGTTGTCGACACATCTCATTTCGACAGCATCATCAGTCTGTATTAGGCATAGTCATGGTCGATGCCGATACGACTGACTTCATCATATTTATATTAGTTTATCATAATTGGATTCCTCTCGATTCGGTAGGTCAAACGTTTCGAGAATTACTGCCGATGGAAGGCAAGGAGGAAATCAATAAGCATTACTGGCCCATTTCCCGTCATCTGCTAGACAGTTGTACTCCAAGCCAAGACCGAAAAAAATTCAGAAACGGCGATCGGGATCATTGGTCATTAAGCCAAGGCCTCGGTTATCGCATCCAAACTTGGATTGTTTGCACTTAAAACAGTAAGCGGCGTAAAATCAGCGATTTCAAGGGCAGTCAGTCCATGATTTAGACGTTCTTTTAGGTAGGTGCGCGTACAGTGCACGTGACCTAAATCGTGAAACTTGTTGGCGAATGACCTGCCGATTCTCTTTCAATTTATTAGTCCATGGCTGGCCTGGCAACATGTGATCGGCTGAAGAGTTTTGTCTCTATGACGTCTCTATCGCCGAAAGCAAAATAACTCCTGGTCACCTGGGTGAACTGTACCACAATTAATTAAAGAGCGAAAAATACCATGAATTCGTGGAAAGCCGGCTAGAAATCTTTACTTAAAGTGTAGGCTGTTGGCAAACCGCCATGCCTGGCACTACATTTATTCTTGAGGAATATTTAAATGTGAACTCCAATATAAAACTACAGTAGGTGGGCTAACTCGTGAAATGACAACTGAAACTCCAAAATGCGTTTTCGCTTTGATAAGATTAATTAAGTAAGGTTGTAAAAGTAGCCGGCATGCAACATAATTCTATAATATTTCAGTTACCTCAGGATGCCGGTTCTCGAACGAACTTCCTTCTGGCTGCATGCAAAAACCACACTGTAGAAAATACTTAAGTAGCATGAACTTTTCTCACTGATTTTCGATGCCCCTAAAAGTCCAATTATATTTCATGGCAAGCATGCATAAAAATATTTATTCTTCTACTCATTCAGTTGAAAATCATGTCTTCTTGTAATTTTATACTCGAAGGAGAGACATAATTCGGTTTTAACAAACTTTTCATATTCCCGAACAGTTTTGGACCCGCTCCACCGTTACACTTGGGTTCAGGGTGTCAAAACTACGAGCCGTATATTTTCCGCGTACGGAAAACCGCACAGTTCTCTACGGTAATAAAGGGGAATTATATAGGGTTCATAAGATTTGGCAGTGGATTTGATTCATATTGTTAACTTTACCAACCACATTGGTAAATGCACAGACATGGCGATTTATGAACGACCATTTCACGGTCTGTAAAAGTTCCACTATTAGAAACCTTTTTTTAAAAATGCATTACGTCCGTCCTTCGATTATAAAATCGGAAGTAGATATAATTTTCTACTGAATGAGTAAAAGAATGAATATTTTTATGCATGTTTGCCATGAAATATAATTGGACTTTTAAGGGCATCGAAAATCAATGCGAAAAATTCATGCTGCTTAAGTAGCCATTTTTTACATAGTGTATTTTTTTGTCTACAGCCGGGAGGCAGTTCATTCGAAGGCCGACATTCTGAGGTAACTGAAATATTGTAGAATTATGTTGTAGGCTGACCAGTTTTACAACCCTACTTAATTAATCTTCTTTAAACGAAGACGCATTTCGTAATTTCGGTTGACATTTCATGAGATAGCCCCACTACTCACCGATCGCGTTAGGGAACTTACTCGTCTCGTTGTCCTTTCCTCCCCTCTGTCTGGAGCCTCGCTAACAGCCGCACAACGGCACGTAATATGGGCTGGATGACACTAGGGCGTAGGACCTGTTTGTTAGATGTTCAATACCCGAACAACTGAGCCCTTGTCTTTGTCAATAATGCTAATCTGCGAATATATCTGCAGTTCTGTACGATATATTGGAGGTTCAGATGTTAAAAATGTTAGGTATTAAACGGAAAAAGTAAATCAAAGTCTTCCGAAATTGACGAAATATGTCGAGGAACCCTTTAAGTCATGGAACAAGAAAGGCTGCCGATGCAAAAACAGACTCGGTGTTTTGCGGTAGACGGTCCCTTTTAGGCTTATCCGTGCACTGCATACAGTGGAGCACAGTTCCACAGCGAGGAACCGTGGGCAAAAACATGAGAACTGTCTACACACTTTCCGACTTCGAATGGAAAATGCCAGTGGACAACCCACTTACCTCCGGGTGCTCATCAGATTCAACTAGGACGACACCCGAGATGAATTTGGAGGTTACAGCGGTCTGAAGGAACCGAGTCTATGAAGCCAGTCAATTCAGGTCATGCTAGAGCCCGCTGTATCCGAAAAACTAGATCACTCAGGACTGCTCACATGCTTGACGCAGTCTTTAACCGCCAGCTGAAGCCCCCAATGCCATCTCTGACTGTGGAAAATTATAGCACGTTGACAATCGTATTATAGCAAGAAAGACATTCACAGTACCACCCCTACTAACCTAATCTAAATTATGTTAAATTAGCCTGATAGCGTCAGGATGACTCATGAGATTCTGCAGGTCCTCAGTTGACCTCGGTTTGCGCTATACGGGACACGGCTAGTACTCCCCCTGCGACGCCAAGTCCAGCGTATAGCGGCGAAGATATCGGGTGCATCTTAAATGCCGTGATCAGCAGGCCAGTCCGCGGTTAGCGTCGGAAAATGGAAGAGATGAAAGTTTATGTTAGTTTGATAACTGTGTCTGACGATATTCACTATCTGTCCCACAGCAGGATGGGCGCAAGGACGATGACTTGCGCTGCATCTACCGCACTCACTCCTCCTCTCCTACACAGGTCCGGAGTCAAGGCAGAGTAAAAAAGACTGGAGGCCTGATCAGGTGCAGCTGACAGACGTGGCGCGGACCCCCGCCTAGGCTTCTCATCATACCCCCCGGGTCAACGCAGGAAGGAGCAGC